GAACTCGCGACCTTCTGCGTGTGAAGCAGACGTGATAACAACTACACTATAGAACCGAGTAACCATTTGCTTGAGATTTCATCCAAATTTGCCAATCATCAAATGAACTGCAATATTCTGCTTCTACTCCGTTGAACTTTAGGCTTACCCAGCATTATCCAAGGTTGGATATGGATCGGTGTTGCCTACATACACATGCTCCATAAATAAGTATTGATACAGTTAAGTGTTAACCAATACTACTTTCTTTCAATTCGGCGTTTCTTTCCCAACGTGTGCTTTACAAACATCAAAACTAAAAATCATTTCAGTGACTACACCAATTGTGCCTAAGAAATACCTTTGGATCTGGCTTCTTAGAACGTTTCCACTGGAAAACGATTGGGATTTCAACGTTTCGGTTGCTCCTCACTCAGCAACAAGCGAGGTGAACAGCACTAAAAAAGGACATTTAAAAAGAATAGGAAACCAGCTTTCTGTTCAGGCTGTTTTCTATTTTTAGATAGTCGATTGCAAAGTTGCCATAATGAAATGAATAATTATTTTTGTGCATATGTTAAACATCACTAGTACTGCACCATTAGTATCTAGAATGACAAGAGCAAAAGCCGATTTAAAGCAAGTTGTACCGCTTTCAAAACAAAACACAGGTTGTTGGGTTTCATTTCTGTCGAAAACCAAAATTAAGGTTCTAGCGAGGCTCGAACTCGCGACCTTCTGCGTGTAAAGCAGACGTGATAACCGCTACACCATAGAACCTGGTGCCCTTCTGCTTCAGCTATCATCCAAGTTCTCCATGCATCAACTGAACTGCAGTATTCTGCTTCTACTCCGTTGAACTTTAGGCTTACCCAGCATTATCCATGGTTGGATACGGATCGGTGTTGCCTGCATACACATGCTCCATGAATAAGTATTGTGACAGTTAAGTGTCGACCAATACTATCTCGGCATTTCTTTCCCAAAATCTACTTTACAAACATCAAAACCAAAACTTCATTTCAGTGACCACCCCAATTTTGTCTAAGTCATAATTTAGTATCTGGTTTCTTAGAACGATTCCACCGAGAAACAAATGGGATTTCAAGATTTTTGACTGCTTCTCGCTCAGCAACATGTAAGGCAAAAAATATTATGCAACCAGCTTCCTGTTTACTCTGTTATTCGTTTCTTGCTAATTGACTGCAAAGTTGCCTTAATGAAATTGATAGCTGATTGTTGCTCATATGTTAAACTTGGCAAGTATGGCACCATTTGTATCTAGAATGTAAAACGTAATAAACATAGAATGCACTACAAATCATAGGAAATCTAACGAGGGGAGACGATGAGTTTTAATGTACACAGATGGATTATTTTCTCCCTCTGATTTTTATATCCTAATCGTTCGTTCAAAATAATCAGTTGCTTATCAAGTAGAGGTAAATTAATAAACCTAGAAAGGATTATAACCGGATCTTTTTTGACTTAAAAAATTGCAACGTTGAAAAGGCTCTCTCCGATATAAAAATAGTGATTCCCAAGCGGGGAATCGAACCTCGGCCGCCGCGGTTAGAGCGCGGAATCCTAACCACTAGACCACTTGGGACATGCACGGCAATGGCACAGATTCATACATAACGGATATTCAAACGCTTTGGAGTGTTTCTTACCTGTTATCCCAAACATGGCCATGAGACCTAATCTGATAAATGTTGGCCTGCGCTTGGTTATTCTGGTTGATTATCTCTAGCATTCATCTCACAGCAGTCTTGGTTTCAGTATAGTGAGAGACATTGACAAGAGCAGAAGTCACTTTATAGCAAGTTGTGCCGCTTGCAAAACAAAACACAAGATGTTGGAGGATTTCTTTTCTTTCGGAAGCCAAAAATAAGGTTCTAGCGAGGCTCGAACTCGCGACCTTCTGCGTGTGAAGCAGACGTGATAACCACTACACTATAGAACCGAGTAACCAATTGCTTGAGCTTTCATCCAAATTTGCCAAGCATCAACTGAACTGCAATATTCTGCTTCTACTCAGTTGAACTTTAGGCTTACCCAGCATTATCCAAGGTTGGATATGGATCGGTGTTGTCTACATACACATGCTCCATAAATAAGTACTAATACAGTTAAGTGTTGACCAATACTACTTTCTTTCAATTCGGCGTTTCTTTCCCAACGTGTGCTTTACAAACATCAAAACTAAAAATCATTTCAGTGACTACACCAATTGTGCCTAAGAAATACCTTTGGATCTGGCTTCTTAGAACGTTTCCACTGGAAAACGATTGGGATTTCAACGTTTCGGTTGCTCCTCACTCAGCAACAAGCGAGGTGAACAGCACTAAAAAAGGACATTTAAAAAGAATAGGAAACCAGCTTTCTGTTCAGGCTGTTTTCTATTTTTAGATAGTCGATTGCAAAGTTGCCATAATGAAATTAATAATTATTTTTGTGCATATGTTAAACATCACTAGTACTGCACCATTAGTATCTAGAATGACAAGAGCAAAAGCCGATTTAAAGCAAGTTGTACCGCTTTCAAAACAAAACACAGGTTGTTGGGTTTCATTTCTGTCGAAAACCAAAATTTAGGTTCTAGCGAGGCTCGAACTCGCGACCTTCTGCGTGTAAAGCAGACGTGATAACCGCTACACCATAGAACCTGGTGCCCTTCTGCTTCAGCTATCATCCAAGTTCTCCATGCATCAACTGAACTGCAATACTCTGCTTCTACTCCGTTGAACTTTAGGCTTACCCAGCATTATCCATGCTTGGATACGGATCGGTGTTGCCTACATACACATGCTCCATGAATAAGTATTGTGACAGTTAAGTGTCGACCAATACTATCTCGGCATTTCTTTCCCAAAATCTACTTTACAAACATCAAAACCAAAACTTCATTTCAGTGACCACCCCAATTTTGTCTAAGTCATAATTTAGTATCTGGTTTCTTAGAACGATTCCACTGAGAAACAAATGGGATTTCAAGATTTTTGACTGCTTCTCGCTCAGCAACATGTAAGGCAAAAAATATATGCAACCAGCTTCCTGTTTACTCTGTTCTTCGTTTCTTGCTAATTGACTGCAAAGTTGCCTTAATGAAATTGATAGCTGATTGTTGCTCATATGTTAAACTTGACAAGTATGGCACCATTTGTATCTAGAATGTAAAACGTAATAAACATAGAATGCACTACAAATCATAGGAAATCTAACGAAGGGAGACGATGAGTTTTAATGTACACAGATGGATTGTTTTCGATTTGCACCCCCCCCCCTCGAGATTTCGATTTGTACCCCCCCCCCCCTCAAACTTTCGATTTGCACCCCCTCCCTCGAGATTTCGATTTGAATCCCCCCCCCTCAAACTTTCGATTTGCACCCCCTCAACCTTTCAATTTATTTTTCCAACCCATTTTGGCGCCCCTTAAGGTCGGCGCCCGGGAACATATGTCGTCGTCGTCCCCCCCCCCCACTCGCTACGCTACTGTTTTGACTGCCCCTCGCTCAGCAAAAAGGCAAAAAGCAGTAGAATCAACTTTAAATAATAATCATTTAAAAAGTTTTTAAAAACCCACGTTTTCTGATTGAACTAAAAAGTAGAAAATAAATGCTATACATCACAATAATGCAAGCGATCACTCTACTATAAGCGATGAGAAACGTGGGGCGCCGAAGTAAAAGTTATATTACTATTGATTAGATAATACTATTGACTTTTATTAGGGAGCTTGTAGAGAGTCAACAGTATTAGAAACTGTAAGAAAATCACGGCGCCCCATGTTTTTGATCGCTTATAGTAGAGTGATCGCTTGCATTATTGTGATGTATAGCAATTATTTTCTACTTTTTAGTTCAATCAGAAAACGTGGGGTTTTTTAAACTTTTTTAATGATTATTATTTTTTACTTTTTAGTCTCTGTCTGTTTGCATTAAAATCTTGCTATCGATATTATCTTTTCACTTTTTTTGGATAAACGAAGACAACTCGTAAAAAGACAACTCGTAAAAAACACGTTGTGTGAATACGTTACTGACTAGAACACCATTTGTTACGGTTGTTTGTACACAAACACCGCGTGAACACTACTCAGTAAGCAAAGAGGGAGAGTACCGAACCTTGTTTTCATCAAATTACAGTTACTGGGTTATGTCCCCTTTTCCCCACGTTTTTACTACAATTATATAGCGGTCTAAAATGCTCAATAAAATGTTTCCATGGATCAATTTAGTAATAATAACAATTGAATATTCTATGGTCATCGGAAACAAAGCTTCCCTGAAAATTTCAGCGCGCTAGCTAACTGGGAAGTGCCCGAAATATCGATCGCAAGATTTGATTGGAGAACCAAACAGACGCGAAAGCAAGTTAAAGAAAACGTGGGAAAAAATACGAGCTGACCCGCGACGTAGCATACGCCGCTATCTAGTTGTTTTATTTTCTACTTATCAACAACTCATAATTTGTGAATTCGACCCTTCCCCCCCCCCCCCCCCCCCCCCCCCCCAGAACCCCACCACGCCCAGGTTTTATATCCTAATCGTTGGTTCAAAATAATTTGTCGCTAAATTATTAAACCTGGAAGGATTTTAACCGGATCTTTTCTCACTTTAAAAAATGCAAAATTGTAAAGGCTATCTCCGATTTAAAAAATAGTGATTCCCAAGCGGGGAATCGAACCCCGGCCGCCGCGGTGAGAGCGCGGAATCCTAACCACTAGACCACTTGGGAAGTTGACACTAAGGCGATATAACAAATTATTAGGCATAAACTTAAATAACGGTAAATGTACTTCTGATTTTTGTTTTCGTACTATAAGTACTGATTTGGTTTTTTGTTCATATTCCAATAAATAAAATCTGATCTAGATCTAATTACTAATGAATCCCAGAATATAAATGTAATAAATCTATTCTAGATCTCTAGAATTAAAGTAGGCCTAGATTCTAGAATCTAAAAAAATGTATCGCTTTTTAATATATTTTTTGTGTGTTCACTACTGCTCGGTTCTACTTTCGCTTTCTTTTCCGGTTCGGACAGGCTTTGCGACGTTGACAACTTAAAAAAAAAAAAACTCGCTAACATAGACTAAAGGCATAAAGGAAAGGTCACTTTAAGACTAAAACAGACTGTAACAAGTTAGTAACAACACTTTTAATTCACTTTTGATAGTTGTACCTTAACTTACTAGATCTAGCTTTTTCTTGATCGATAGCCTCGGGCTCTTCTCTAGAGTCTAGACTAGGCGGACTAGGCCAAATAAATTAATAATTTAAATAAATCACTGTAATTAAATTTGTAATCAGGCTTAAGAAGTTAAGTAAGTAGACCTAATCTAATAAATTAATAAAATTATTATTATAATATTTTGATTTTGTAGACTTAGTAATTAGTAGCCTAATAGTACTAATAGTAGCCTAATACTAATAATTAAATTAGTAGGGTAAAGGAGGGCGTTAAGAGCCACACTTTTTAGCACCTGTACATTTTTAAAGATTTCTACTAATCTAAGAATTTTTTAGTATTGAAAATATGGCAAAATTATTCTAACATATCTTACACAATATAAAAATAATAACAAAGTGTATTAAATATACTTTAAATGGGTTTAATTGAACATTTATTGTCATACCCCCAAAATCAGCATTTGGGGTGAAAGGAGCCGGGCAATGGGGCAATAAGTATTATCTCCTAGTTTAGACTAACTCCGCAATAAAAATAATTAATTTCTATCCCCAAAATAGTTAATGCTGTGTACACACACTTTAACTGATACTAGCTATCACTAGGCCCCAATGGGCCCAGTCTACAATTGATACAATTGCAGGTGTACATAGGGCCTAAAGTCTAGTAGTTTACAGTAGGCACATTAGTATGCCTAGTGTGTAGCTAGTATACTAGTGTGTAGCTGTCCAGAGTTAACATTCTTGTATGTAAAAAGGGGTGGTACTAACTAATCTGCCTTAATGCTTTCCCCTGATAAGCCATGTGTGCTATACATTACATGACATGGAGGTGAGAAATGTTGAGGGGAGAGCAGTTGTACTGGTTTCCCCTTTGTTCTCCTTGCTGGACCCTGAGGGCCATAAATTACATAAGGAGATGCTATCTCTGGTTGGCTGAGATCTAAGAACTAAGTCCATGCTACCTACAAAGAGATAAGTTTTATGGTGGGTTAGATACAGGTGGGGACTGGGTATCATGGGGGTGAGAAATTGTGAGGGGAGAGCAGTGGTACTGGTTTCCCCTTTGTTCTCCTTGCTGGACCCTGAGGGCCATATATTACATAAGATGCTATCTCTGGTTGGCTGAGATCTAAGAACTTAGTCCATGTTACCTACAAAGAGATGAAGTTTTATGGTGGGTTAGATACAGGTGGGGTCTGGCTTTCATGGAGGTGAGAACATGTGAGGGGAGAGCAGTGGTACTGATTCCTCTTTGGTCTCCACCCTGCTAGACCATGAAGGTCACACATTACATAACATGCCACCCCAGATTGTCTGAGATCTGTAACTGTAATCCATGTTACCTACAAAGAGATAGAGTTTTATAGTGGGCCAGAAACTGGTGGGGGCTGGGTATCATGGGGGTAAAAAATTGTAAGGGGGGAGCAGTGGTATTAGTGTGTCTGTTTACTTCCCTGCTGGACCATGAGGGTCATAAATTACATAACATACCACCCCAGATTGGCTGAGACCTAAGAGCATTTATTCCTGTTACCTACAAAGAGATTAGAAGTTTTATGGTTGGTTAGAAACAGGTGGGGGCTGAGTCGGCTGTATTGCCCCTTAGGGGTAATAAGAACATGTACCATTTTAAAAATTACCTTGCTAACATCAGATGGCTGAATTTTTACTTTTTAGCAGGTTAGAATTGTATTTCTATCATTTAGACACAAGTCTGTTTAACAATTAATACATTTTGTGTTAACTATTCCTATACCAGTGTCATATTCAGTGGTCTAATAAATGAGAAACTTGCACTTAGGGTTTCAAGAGCCACATAACAGTATCTGTTATAACTTTTCTAAACAGGCAAGCTAGTGGACAAAATTAATGTATTCATGTAGATTTAGTTATTATCTAACAAATAAAACCATTATGGTAATGATCAGTCAAGTTTTAATCTGATAAGGATAAAAACTTTATAGCATGGTAAAATGGGACAAATGTCTGCCATTTTGTTTTGGCACCAATAATCACTGTGCAAAAAAAATTCACCAAAATAAAACTATTCAAGCCATAGCTATAAAAATAGTGTTAAAATGTACAACAACCAATGCTCTAATACAGGAACAAAGAATGGGCTTGAAAAACTCATTTGGTTTATTACAAAGTAAAGTTTCCCAAGTTATGTCTATTTGGAAAAAAAGTTCACAAAATGGTTTTATGGAGATGAGAAATTTTAGGGAAAGAGCAGTGGGATTAAATCCTGTCTCATCCTTTCCCTATTGGACCAAGTGGGTCATAAATTACATAAAATGAATCCTCTGCTTCTCTGTTATCAAAGAACAGCAGTGGTTGTTACCTCAGAAGTAGATTAGCAGTGTTATTGGGGGTTTTGTGGGGGTGGGGTGTTGATTGGGGCTTAATACCACACGGCTCTTAACGCCCTCCTTTACCCTATTACTATTAATAATAGACTATTAATTCTAAAGTCTAAATTAGTAGATCTAGATCTAGATCTAGTAAAATAGTAGAACCTTCTGCTTGATATTTTCATTGGGGGGGGGATGGAGGCAGGGCGGTGGGGTAGTGTTGAATTCACAAATTATGAATTGTTGATAAGTAGAAAATAAAACAACTAGAGGATCTAGATCTAGATAGCAGCATATGCTACGTCGCGGGGTCAGCTCATTTACTTATACAGAATCCCCAATATCTAGCTAGCCTAAATTATATGTAAAAAAAAATTTTAAATGTACTTTGTTTTTCATTTGTTCACCTTAAACTAGGCAGTCACAGTAGGTCATGTGGACTAAGTAAATAGTTTTATTATTACAATTCATTTATCCATGACTTAATTATTAATTCTTAGTGCCATTTTTTTTTTTTAAATTCACAGAATGCCTCTGTGTTACATTCACACAAACAAGAAAGAGTCTGATTTAAAAGAAGGCATTGAATTAAGATTGGCAGCAGGAATAGCACACATATTGAGTAAACCTTTGGAGGTTAGTACAACTGGGGGAGAGGGGGGGGGGGGGTGCAGCTGTAACAAGGCAAGGGCTCTGAAATTGATGCCAATCTTATGCATTTTAATAGTAACTTCAGAAATTTAGCTATGTTGCATTTTAAAAGACTTTCTTGTAAATTGTTTACATTTTTTTTTAATCTGATAGTGAAGTGATAGGCCATCTAATCTTGACTCAGTGCAGTTAATATTTGAAGAAAAAAAAATAGATGGAAAATAGTTCCCTAGTTTGTGTATGTCTGGGGGGAGGGGGTGGAGTGGTGTTGACCCCTTACCCTATGTTGTTAAATCATGCTTAGCATATGTTTTTTACACTTTCTCATTACATTTAACAACTTTCCATCACATTTTCCTACCACTGTTGGTTGATTATATTGTTCCCAACCCCGCCCCCTTTCTGTGTGACACTTGATCATACCAGTGGTTAAAACATGATAGAGGAATTGAAAGTGAAAGCAAGATAATGAATAAGGAGGATGGGGTAGATATTTTTAAAGCTTGATATGGCAGTGAATTGAAACAGCAAACCTCTAAAAACTTTCCAAGACTGATATTTATTACCTAAATTGATGTAGCATTCCATGACCAAAACTTTTAACAATTTTATTGAGCATATTTTATCCCCACTTAAAATAAGCCTAAGAACAGAAATAAAGTTTAAGTAATTATTATTTTTTACAGCGGATGATTATCATCATTGTTCCTGGTGTTAGGTTACTTCGCCATGAAAGTACTTCTCCTGCCTGTACACTCAATATAAATGCCATTGGTGTATTTGATGCTGAGAGGAATCCTACATATTCACCAGCTATTAAAAAATTGCTTCAAGATGAATTGGAGTTACCAGCAGAGAGGTAACAAAAATTAATAAAAACAGATAATCTGTGATAGAATCATGGTTGTTTCAGGAGATGGAAAAAAAAATGAGTGATGTCACTTTGTTGAGAGGGGCGGGATCTGACATTTAGTCTCAAAAAATGGGGACGGGGGGAATGTGTGTAAACTTGCTGTAATGTTATTTAAGGATGATCCTTTTAGCTGAATCCAGGTCCAAGTTTTATTTAAAAAAATTATTTGTAAAGTGTAGGATAGTTTTGTTGCAGTTTTAGCGAGCTATGTTTTATCTACATAAAGGTGTTGTTACTTTTTATTTTCAGGTGTGTGATTGTGTATCATGATCTAGACAAAAACTTCCTTGGGTGATTGATTGGAGAAGGAGAGATCTAAGATTTCAAACAGTGATTATAATTAAACAGAGATGGTTGGATGTTTAAAATTTCAAATAGTCATTGAGATTTAAAAAAAAATATTTTGTTATTTTAATAGAATCAGAAAGGTTTATTTTTTCTTTTCTGTAATATTTTACAAGCTATGGGTCGCTTGTTATTGATGAATTAAATCATCAACAATGTTTATGTTTTTTTTTCTAAGCTTGAAGTAATCAGATTTCCCTATATACTCAGGTTGTGTCAAAAACAGAACTTTCTTTTTTTCCTTGTGTATAAATTTGCAGGCAAGGAGACTTAACTCTCTAAAAACCATCTCAAAAGATTACTTAATAGGACCAGTTAATGCTATCAATTATTAAAATTAACCATTGATTCAATTAAAACAAAGTCGTATCTACAGTTGTATGTTTTCAATAAAAGAAAATTAAGTCAGTTTGTTTTTATAATTGCTGCATTAAAACAAGTGCTTTACTTTAAAGTTGATTGCACTGTGTCAAATACATGTCCATAGGTCATCAAATTGTATAACTATTTCATAAAATAATTCTGTATTATGATCAGTGATCTGCACTTGTATATTGTAGACCTTAAAATTAAATCAGTACCTGCATGAGCTCTCCAATAATTTCTTACTAAAATTCACTTACAGCAAACAAAAGAAAAGTATTTGTCATTAAATATCCATCCTTGATATAATATAATCTACTGATCTAAACACTATTTTTGGCCGATAGTAGTCAGCTATATTTTAATAGTACTTTAAATTTCATTCCTTATTATAACTGTGAATGTATGTTAGATGGTATTAATAAAATTGCATTTTGTATACTTCTTTATGCAGCTTTTATTGTAACTGTTCAACTGTCATGATAATTGTGTCCCTCAGTGTGGCTTAAAAGGTGGTGGTTATTTTTACTTTATGTTTCTGATTGCATAATAAGGATTTGGAATGTACATTTTTCTTTAATTAATGCTGTTTATTTTCAATTGCTGAAATACCAATGTTCCAGAGGCTAAAAATTACTTTATGATGAACAAAGTGCAGCAACAAGTTAGATAAATTAGTCATTGTACTCGTAAAGTTAGCATGTCTACAAATTTGTGCTCTAATCTAATCCTAGGGTATCAATACAATTTATAGATAAATTTTTATCATGACATTTTCACTGAATTAGGGGAAACAACAGAGTTTATTAATTATTTCAACTTGGGATTTATTTCTTATTCAGGCATATTTACTTGGTATAAAACTGAACTATTTTAACTGCTAGAACTAGTAGAACACCTCCAATCATTGTGATATGATTTTTGAAGATTGGTACTTTTACTAAATTTTAGTTGGATTGACATATTCAAATACACATTTTTAAACTTATGTCTAGCTTCCAGCTCTTGAAAATATAGTTCACAGTTTTGCTCAATTATTTAAGGTTGTATTTGTATGTTCATGTTACTTTTCTCAACATATTTTATGATAAAACAAAATGATACCTATTAGTATTATAATAAAACATTTTACATCAGATTCAATTTCTTGTTGTTCCTAAAAAACAGTGTAGACAATACAAAAAAAAAAAGAAGCCAATCAAACATTTGCATTAATTTTAATTACATTTTAACAGGTTTATCAACATTACAAAATGCTATCATATGAATGCTATTTGATTGACTACATGAAATACGGCAGGCCCAGCATAAATACACACAATAACATGCCAAGACAAAGATTCCAAGCAATGTAATGACTCAAAGTTAGACCAGATTAGAAATAGGTTTGAGGTCAAACAGATGAGTTAGAAGAGCTAGCAGATAAGAAGCATAGATAAACAGTAACACATACATGTAAATGGGACTTGAGTCAATTATTAATTTCACACCATATGGCAGTACAATGATCAATTTCCTACCCTGAGATAAAATAGATTTTTATACATTACAGTGATATATGAAAACATCTTGCACAACAAACAGAAACAACTCCTCATCCTTAGGGCCTGAGAGTTAAGTAATAAGGGGGGCATGTCTGATAAAACTATTAACTGCATAAACCATACATGCAAGCTAAAGCCACTTTGAGACATATCCGTAAATAGTTATGTTAAAGTGATTAAAACAATTGCTTGGCAACAAGTATTCAAATTTCATTACAAATCTAGCTCAAATGTATGTATTACAATCTAGAAGCCTACTGGTCAAAAATAATATTTGATTATTATGTAATTAGTATTTTTTTTTGTCATTATCTTAGGATCGAAACAAGTTAAACAACTATGAAATTTGCCTTTCTAAATACATAAAGCCAATTAACCAATAGCTCCAAATGGTATAAAATTGGGTGGCCCTTATAAGGGCCGGTTTAGATTTTTAGTTTCTAAACTGAAATGAACAAACACAAATGAAGATTTGAGAACTGAACATCTGCAGAAAGGAGCACACAATGCTAAATTGTGGACTAAACACCTGCAGAAAAGAGCTTATAAAATGCATGAAAAATTTTAGGAAAGGAGAAAAGAAATGGGACTCAGTCCTGAAGATGGAGTACACAAGCGCACATTGGGAGACTCAGTCCTTTGGATGCAGTTAACAAGCTCACACTGGGAGACTCAGTCCTTAGGATGCAGTACACAAGCGCACATTGGGATTTACAACCTCAGGATGTAGCTGCCAATGATTATTTGAGGACTCAACACCCGCTGAAAGGAGCACACAATGCTTATTTGAGAACTGGACATCTGCAAAAAGGAGCACACAATGCTAAATTGTGGACTAAACACCTGCAGAAAAGAGCTTATAAAATGCATGAAAAATTTTATGAATGGAGAAAAGAAATGGGACTCAGTCCTGAAGATGGAGTACACAAGCGCACATTGGGAGACTCAGTCCTTTGGATGCAGTTAACAAGCTCACACTGGGAGACTCAGTCCTTAGGATGCAGTACACAAGCGCACATTGGGATTTACAACCTCAGGATGTAGCTGCCAATGATTATTTGAGGACTCAACACCCGCTGAAAGGAGCACACAATGCTTATTTGAGAACTGAACATCTGCAGAAAGGAGCACACAATGCTAAATTGTGGACTAAACACCTGCAGAAAAGAGCTTATAAAATGCATGAAAAATTTTAGGAAAGGAGAAAAGAAATGGGACTCAGTCCTGAAGATGGAGTACACAAGCGCACATTGGGAGACTCAGTCCTTTGGATGCAGTTAACAAGCTCACACTGGGAGACTCAGTCCTTAGGATGCAGTACACAAGCGCACATTGGGATTTACAACCTCAGGATGTAGCTGCCAATGATTATTTGAGGACTCAACACCCGCTGAAAGGAGCACACAATGCTTATTTGAGAACTGAACATCTGCAGAAAGGAGCACACAATGCTAAATTGTGGACTAAACACCTGCAGAAAAGAGCTTATAAAATGCATGAAAAATTTATTGAATAGAGAAAAGAAATGGGGCTCAGTCCTGAAGATGGAGTACACAAGTGCACATTGGGAGACTCAGTCCTTAGGATGCAGTACACAAAGGCACATTGGTATGTACAACCTCAGGATGTAGCTGCCAATGATTATTTGAGGACTCAACAGCCCCAGAAAGGAGCACACATTGCTAAATTGTGGACTAAACACCTGCAGAAAAGAGCTTATAAAATGCATGAAAAATTTTAAGAATGAAGAAAAGAAATGGGACTCAGTCCTGAAGATGGAGTACACAAGCGCACATTGGGAGACTCAGTCCTTTGGATGCAGTTAACAAGCTCACACTGGGAGACTCAGTCCTTAGGATGCAGTACACAAGCGCACATTGGGATTTACAACCTCAGGATGTAGCTGCCAATGATTATTTGAGGACTCAACACCCGCTGAAAGGAGCACACAATGCTTATTTGAGAACTGGACATCTGCAGAAAAGAGCACACAATGCTAAATTGTGGACTAAACACCTGCAGAAAAGAGCTTATAAAATGCATGAAAAATTTTAAGAATGAAGAAAAGAAATGGGACTCAGTCCTGAAGATGGAGTACACAAGCGCACATTGGGAGACTCAGTCCTTTGGATGCAATTAACAAGCTCACACTGGGAGACTCAGTCCTTAGGATGCAGTACACAAGCGCACATTGGGATTTACAACCTCAGGATGTAGCTGCCAATGATTATTTGAGGACTCAACACCCGCTGAAAGGAGCACACAATGCTTATTTGAGAACTGGACATCTGCAGAAAAGAGCACACAATGCTAAATTGTGGACTAAACACCTGCAGAAAAGAGCTTATAAAATGCATGAAAAATTTAAGAATGGAGAAAAGAAATGGGACTCAGTCCTGAAGATGGAGTACACAAGCGCACATTGGGAGACTCAGTCCTTAGGATGCAGTACACAAAAGCACATTGGTATGTACAACCTCAGGATGTAGCTGCCAATGATTATTTGAGAACTGGACATCTGCAGAAAGGAGCACACAATGCTAAATTGTGGACTAAACACCTGCAGAAAAGAGCTTATAAAATGCATGAAAAATTTATTGAATAGAGAAAAGAAATGGGACTCAGTCCTGAAGATGGAGTACACAAGTGCACATTGGGAGACTCAGTCCTTAGGATGCAGTACACAAAGGCACATTGGTATGTACAACCTCAGGATGTAGCTGCCAATGATTATTTGAGGACTCAACAGCCCCAGAAAGGAGCACACATTGCTAAATTGTGGACTAAACACCTGCAGAAAAGAGCTTATAAAATGCATGAAAAATTTTAAGAATGAAGAAAAGAAATGGGACTCAGTCCTGAAGATGGAATACACAAGCGCACATTGGGAGACTCAGTCCTTAGGATGCAATTAACAAGCTCACACTGGGAGACTCAGTCCTTAGGATGCAGTACACAAGCGCACATTGGGATTTACAACCTCAGGATGTAGCTGCCAATGATTATTTGAGGACTCAACACCCGCTGAAAGGAGCACACAATGCTTATTTGAGAACTGGACATCTGCAGAAAAGAGCACACAATGCTAAATTGTGGACTAAACACCTGCAGAAAAGAGCTTATAAAATGCATGAAAAATTTTAGGAAAGGAGAAAAGAAATGGGACTCAGTCCTGAAGATGGAGTACACAAGCGCACATTGGGAGACTCAGTCCTTTGGATGCAGTTAACAAGCTCACACTGGGAGACTCAGTCCTTAGGATGCAGTACACAAGCGCACATTGGGATTTACAACCTCAGGATGTAGCTGCCAATGATTATTTGAGGACTCAACACCCGCTGAAAGGAGCACACAATGCTTATTTGAGAACTGGACATCTGCAGAAAGGAGCACACAATGCTAAATTGTGGACTAAACACCTGCAGAAAAGAGCTTATAAAATGCATGAAAAATTTTAGGAAAGGAGAAAAGAAATGGGACTCAGTCCTGAAGATGGAGTACACAAGCGCACATTGGGAGACTCAGTCCTTTGGATGCAGTTAACAAGCTCACACTGGGAGACTCAGTCCTTAGGATGCAGTACACAAGCGCACATTGGGATTTACAACCTCAGGATGTAGCTGCCAATGATTATTTGAGGACTCAACACCCGCTGAAAGGAGCACACAATGCTTATTTGAGAACTGGACATCTGCAGAAAAGAGCACACAATGCTAAATTGTGGACTAAACACCTGCAGAAAAGAGCTTATAAAATGCATGAAAAATTTTAGGAAAGGAGAAAAGAAATGGGACTCAGTCCTGAAGATGGAGTACACAAGCGCACATTGGGAGACTCAGTCCTTTGGATGCAGTTAACAAGCTCACACTGGGAGACTCAGTCCTTAGGATGCAGTACACAAGCACACATTGGGATTTACAACCTCAGGATGTAGCTGCCAATGATTATTTGAGGACTCAACACCCGCTGAAAGGAGCACACAATGCTTATTTGAGAACTGGACATCTGCAGAAAAGAGCACACAATGCTAAATTGTGGACTAAACACCTGCAGAAAAGAGCTTATAAAATGCATGAAAAATTTTAGGAAAGGAGAAAAGAAATGGGACTCAGTCCTGAAGATGGAGTACACAAGCGCACATTGGGAGACTCAGTCCTTTGGATGCAGTTAACAAGCTCACACTGGGAGACTCAGTCCTTAGGATGCAGTACACAAGCGCACATTGGGATTTACAACCTCAGGATGTAGCTGCCAATGATTATTTGAGGACTCAACACCCGCTGAAAGGAGCACACAATGCTTATTTGAGAACTGGACATCTGCAGAAAGGAGCACACAATGCTAAATTGTGGACTAAACACCAGCAGAAAAGAGCTTATAAAATGCATGAAAAATTTTAGGAAAGGAGAAAAGAAATGGGACTCAGTCCTGAAGATGGAGTACACAAGCGCACATTGGGAGACTCAGTCCTTTGGATGCAGTTAACAAGCTCACACTGGGAGACTCAGTCCTTAGGATGCAGTACACAAGCGCACATTGGGATTTACAACCTCAGGATGTAGCTGCCAATGATTATTTGAGGACTCAACACCCGCTGAAAGGAGCACACAATGCTTATTTGAGAACTGCACATCTGCAGAAAGAAGCACACAATGCTAAATTGTGGACTAAACACCTGCAGAAAAGAGCTTATAAAATGCATGAAAAATTTTAGGAAAGGAGAAAAGAAATGGGACTCAGTCCTGAAGATGGAGTACACAAGCGCACATTGGGAGACTCAGTCCTTTGGATGCAGTTAACAAGCTCACACTGGGAGACTCAGTCCTTAGGATGCAGTACACAAGCGCACATTGGGATTTACAACCTCAGGATGTAGCTGCCAATGATTATTTGAGGACTCAACACCCGCTGAAAGGAGCACACAATGCTTATTTGAGAACTGGACATCTGCAGAAAGGAGCACACAATGCTAAATTGTGGACTAAACACCTGCAGAAAAGAGCTTATAAAATGCATGAAAAATTTTAGGAAAGGAGAAAAGAAATGGGACTCAGTCCTGAAGATGGAATACACAAGCGCACATTGGGAGACTCAGTCCTTTGGATGCAGTTAACAAGCTCACACTGGGAGACTCAGTCCTTAGGATGCAGTACACAAGCGCACATTGGGATTTACAACCTCAGGATGTAGCTGCCAATGATTATTTGAGGACTCAACACCCGCTGAAAGGAGCACACAATGCTTATTTGAGAACTGGATATCTGCAGAAAAGAGCACACAATGCTAAATTGTGGACTAAACACCTGCAGAAAAGAGCTTATAAAATGCATGAAAAATTTTAGGAAAGGAGAAAAGAAATGGGACTCAGTCCTGAAGATGGAGTACACAAGCGCACATTGGGAGACTCAGTCCTTTGGATGCAGTTAACAAGCTCACACTGGGAGACTCAGTCCTTAGGATGCAGTACACAAGCGCACATTGGGATTTACAACCTCAGGATGTAGCTGCCAATGATTATTTGAGGACTCAACACCCGCTGAAAGGAGCACACAATGCTTATTTGAGAACTGGACATCTGCAGAAAGGAGCACACAATGCTAAATTGTGGACTAAACACCAGCAGAAAAGAGCTTATATAAAATGCATGAAAAATTTTATGAATGGAGAAAAGAAATGGGACTCAGTCCTGAAGACGAATCCTTAAGAAAAAAGTTATAAGATTTAAAAAGATGGAATACACATGTGCACATTGCGTATATTGAAGCGCGTGTTTTAGTTTCAGCGCGTCTTTCGTTTGGACACAATCCAACCGAGGACAAAGCACCATTTTAACCTAAATTTAGATTTAAGTAACTCAATATTGTTTTTGTTCTTTATTATTTTCTATGCGCGGACGGTGCAGTAAGCTTTTAATTTAAAGAAATGCACTTCCGTTAAAAGTCAAAGGGCAAGGGTAATTTCAAACTGAAGTGTGCGGACTTAACAGAAAATCAATGTACTCATGGTAAACTATTTTGCCCTCAAGTTGATTTTTTTTTGTCAGGAAGATGTTTTACTAATTTTTAGGTCCCTTTATTTCCATCAGTGACCATTCACATTTTCTATTCTAATCAACATGTGTATGTAACCGAAAGCAAACCATAACACATCAAGACCTTACACTTCAAATGTAGTATCGGGCAGAATGAATATTCGAAACAGGATAGGCCCTAGAATATTTTTATTTATTAGTTACTTTTAACTTCATTTCGCATTTTAAATAATCTTAATAATGTAACATTGTGATTATTTAAATGCTTTGTTCTCTATGATTGATTTTTTTAAAAATAGGCATAAAATATTTTTATAGTAAAATAACACCTATTACTGTAAATAATTAAAACGAACGAGAAATATTTAATTTTATAATGGGATTTGTCACAAAGCATTAATTTACATACCATCTGAAGTCTAGATTTCCTTATTAAATTTAATTAGATTAATTTAAAAACCTGAGACTATAAATAAATATAAGAAAGGAACAAACATGTACTTTAAACAATGGACTTAGGAAACAGCTTTTTTAAACTTAACAGTTTGTCTTGTCCAATGCAAACTCATGGTAACTTTTTTTTAAAATGTACTTTGGACTTATATGCATGGAGAATGTGAAAATCCTGTTACTGCTTCTTCTTTCTTGTCATCTGTTGTAAAAATTAGTATCTGATTCATTTCATTGATTTTAACTTAATTAAACGAAGATAATCATCCCCTTTTTAACAAGTGACAAGACTTTTAACTTTTGCAGGCCTATGGTGCATGGTTTAAGTTCATTTATACATGGTTACTTCAATGTTGTGTTGGCTGTTAAGGGATTTTTCAATCATATCATTACCTGGCGGCAGTAAATAATTGTAATGCCTGATCAGAGTTAGGATAGTTTGTGGGTGGAGCAAAATAGTTTAATCCATGGCATATGATGTATCTTTGGAATAAGTTAAAATATAGTATAACCATATATTATAAAGTTGTGTTGTTTTCACAATTTTACATTGCAGGTGTTAAATGTTTTAACCTTAGCAACCAGTATATATATATATATATATATATATATATATATATATATATATATATATATATATATATATATATATATAACTTTTACATTTTGGATATTATATAGAGATGGTAAGGGGGAATCAAAAGTAACAAAGCTTTAAAATTCTTCAAGTATCAATGTAGCTAAAATACTAGAGAACACAAACAAAAGTCACCAAAAGCATTTGATAAAGCTAAATAATTTAATTCCTTCAATTTACAACATAATGTTTATTTTTTTGTTGTTGTTTTTTTTAAGTTTACTTTTTACCAATATCCTGTCAGCACAATCTTAGTTACAAAGAACATTCAAATTTGTAATATTTAGATTCAACAAAGAAAAATGTTAGACAAGAATCAAATATGTAAATAACTATAAATATGTTTTTTATTTTACAAAAATGTATATGTACAACAGTAGTTTTTACAAATTATGGCAACAAGTTGTATAAAGAGCGGTCATTAATTACAATGCACATGAACATATTTACAACCATTAAAATGAAATACTATCAAGAAAATACAAGAGGAGACATTAATACATGAAAAGGTCAATCATTGTAGAATACTAATTAATGCATCAAAAAACTTGCTCTTGTCCTCTGATTTTATTTCAATAACTAAAAGAGAAAAATGAAACAAATAGTTAAAAACTTCAGAAAAAAAGCATTAATCTAAGAAACAATGTTTATTACTGTCATTTCACCATCACAGAAGTTATTGCTTGAGAGTTTTGAGTCAGTAGTTCACAATTTATAGGACAGTATGGCACAGACACCTAAATCATAAACCAAACAGTTTCAATTTTGCTTGACTTTTGATGCAAAAGAAATATTTGGTTTTTTCAAATTTATTTATAACAGAGTGTGAAATGACAGTGACAATAGAGCCAAAACTATTTATTTGATGTGCAACAAACCTGTGTGACCATGTCTCAGCGCTATTCCTAGTCAGGGTCAGTCATATTACTAGTGAGTTATGTAGTCAGAGAAGACATTACCAGTGAGTTATGTAGTCAGAGAAGACATTACCAGTGAGTTATGTAGTCAGAGAAGACATTACCAGTGAGTTATGTAGTCAGAGAAGACATTACCAGTGAGTTATGTAGTCAGAGAAGACATTACCAGTGAGTTATGTAGTCAGAGAAGACATTACCAGTGAGTTATGTAGTCAGAGAAGACACTAGGCCTAGAAGTTGCTGCAAGATCTTAGTATAGGATAGTCAAAAGTTCTTGTGGAATACAGAGTTTTAGTTTTGTAAGAGGCGGATTAGAAATAAATTATAGAGAAAGATCTAGGTTGTGAAAAATAGACATTTTTGATGAAAAATAGACATTTTTGATGAAAAATAGTGATCTGTGTAGATCGATGTTATTTATATTGTTTGTAGCTGAGAAGGAATAAAATTTGTGTTGTAACCTATGAAGACTTAGTTAAAACAAAAGCAAGCTAAGGTGAGTCAAGGAAAAGATCTCCCATCCTTGTGTGATAAAAGATTCTAATGCACAACTCTATTCTTTTAAAAAATGATTGAAATATTAAACAAAAAACTCACTGTATGAATCAAAGCTGTTAAATCTAGCAGATGAGCTTGTAGACTCTGCTGCCTGCTCAAAGGCTTTACCAAAAAAACTGCAACAAAAAAAAAGTTACAACTCTGTTAAAAAGAGGCACACTGTACTACATTGTTAGTGTCAGGTTTTATTTCAGCTCGTTAAAAACAAAACTGCAACTACAAATTAGAGTAAGCTTACTTTTTCCTTTCATCATCTGTATCAAGAGGTGGTATGCCTACAATCAGACTTGTCCCTTCCTCTGGGTTGAGTGGTGCCCCTAACACCAAGGGAAGACTCTGAGAGCGCTTGTTACGGCTCTGTAAAGAATTTAGAAAGTAAATTAGAAATTAAACCAAATTGTCAAAATGAAGAAAGATTTATATCAAATAGGGTAATTCAAAAAAGTTTTAAAGAATAATATTATAAAAACTGCCCCACTTACAACAGCACATTGTGCTTGTAATGAAAACCTAGCCAACCTGATCAAACACTGGGGGTGGGCAAAAAAGCGAGAATCTGCAGTACCCTGAAACAAAACATTCAAGTATAAAAAATAAATTCTATATATACTGCTATGGCATTTCAACTTAACAGTTACTTTGTAAATAATAAATTACAAGAAAAAATCATTACTAAAATAGATGAGAATGAGAAACTGGTTTTAAGTAAACTGAATGTTACTTGCCTCCTGCACAAACACATATAAAAATGGCCCAGCTGAGATGATTTGATGCATGTCCAGAAAACTTTGAACTTGAGTGACCACACTCTTCAGCTGTAGTTTGGCAGCTTCTAGACCTGCTTCCAGCTTACTCGTGCTGGATCTGTACATGTGTTGCAACAAATTGATTTTTTTTATTACACTTCAAAGTCTTGATTAAAAACTTAAGCTTTTAACAGCACAGAATTGGAGCCATTGAATACACACATTGGGGGCCAGTTAACAATCCATTAAAAACAGCCAGCAGCCATTTACAATATTTTGGGATTTTCAACACAAATGTCCAGGAAGTGCTGCTCTATGGCTCTGAGACTTGGAGGGTTACGAAGACAAATACTGATAAGCTACAGGCATTCATAAACAAATGCTTACAACATATACTTAAAATAAGATTGCAAGACAAAATATCAAACAAAGACCTGTGGCGAACTTTAAAGCAACAGCCAACAGACAGATATCAAGGCCCGTAAATGGGGATGGATTGGACACACATTAACCATTAATGTCCCATTCATTCTACCAAAACTCCACCCATGACGGCCCAATGTAAGGAGCATAACTCTGTATGATCAAGTGAATAGTTTCACAAAATATTTGTTTTTGTCTAAATGAAATTGAAAATTAAGATAAAAACTACTGCTTAATGTTGGGAATAAACCTGGCTTTCCAACAGTATTAAATAGAATATATTATATTCGGTAAAAGTACAGTAAAAAAATAAAAAATGTCGGAGAAAATTCAAAACAGGTCATTTTCGGTAGTCAACTTTATTTATTTTTGTCTAAACAACTAAGCATCGAATTTAACAGTTAAATATCAATTTGGTTATGTTTAAGATAAATAATTCATAAAATACATGCCTAGATACGTTTAGAGGCATTATTTTATTTTATTTTTAACATTAAATCTACTAAAAAAAAGGACAGATGAGTCTAAAATTTCGAGATCGAAAGAAGCTATTATTTTTTATCTTTCAAAAGCGCCATTGAAATTATAAGACCGGAAAAGGATGGTGAAACTATCCGACTTCCTGTTTAATTAAAAATTAGGATTTGTAGGCCAAATTTTAATGAAACAAATTTAATTTTTCTATGCGTATTTTAAGCGGGCGGCAGCGGGCGTTACGGGACATTAACGGTGTCGGGCGGCAGCGGGCGTTACGGGACATTAATGGTTAAGAAAAGAAAACATTGCAAAACATGCTTTGGAATGGAATCCCCAGGGAAAAAGGAGGGTGGGACGGCCAAGGAAGACATGGAGAAGAACGGTTGAAGAAGAGGTGAAAACAGCTGGGCTCACATGGGCAAAGATAAAGGGGGCAGCCCAAAACCGAGTCCAATGCAGATGTGTGGTTGCAGCCCTTTGCTCCCCAGGGGCCACAAAGGAATGATGATGATTATGAGATAAAAAAAAATAGAAAATGTTTCAAATACATCACCTCTGTAAAATATCTGATGCTTCTAAAAAGTTGTCTGTTGTCATTCTTGATTTATCCTGCATCAATTTGAAAAAATGTTTTTTATAAAAAGTCTGATAAGCATTTAAGTGAGCTTCAGGTCTAAAATATGTGACAGGTGAAATCTACATCTCCTGTCCCATGGATCATAGGGTTTGAAAGGGTACATTACTTTTTTTTCATATCTAAAAATATGTACTTCACATTGATAAATAGTATCTGGACTTCATGCTGATTATAATTTATTAATTAGGTATGTTATAAATAAAGAAGCTCAAGCTTAAAATACTTTTTTTTAAACAATGAAAAAAAAATAATTCAAAATTATATTTTTCTAGAAAGCCAACAACCTTCTGACAAAAACCATAAAAAATCTTACCACTGATTCCAGAATGGCTGTGCAGGCATACACATAATCTGTCGCACAAAGAAGGTTTTTATAGCCATATTGCATGCAAAAAGATGGAAGAATCACATCCTGCATATCCAAGCTAAAAAATAATTTTTTATACATGTTAACAATTGCTGGCCGTAATATTACATTTTTAAAAATATTTTCATTTTAAGGGTAGTCTATAAAGTATTCACTAAAAAATGTATAGAAGATAATTTCAAGCTTAAATTCCAATAATGAGAGGTTTTGATATTGATGAAATGCGTACAAATAAAAATTAATCGAAGAAGATTAATGCGGTCTTGAAGAGGATATTTTAATTTGAGAAAAATAAAACTATTTAAAAAGAGAGAATGCAGGTGTTTACATACCCATACTTATTCATGTATTCTTGTATTTTTCCTTTCACTTCTAACCTCAGAACAGAATCCATGGCACAAAACTGTTGTTTACATTGTGTTAGTGGCAACCTAAAGACCAATCAAAACGCACATGTTAAAAATGAAGTACAAATAAAGAATAAAATATGGACTGCCATGTTTTTCCATATTGAGAGGTTGGTAAACTATAACATTTATCACTCACAATACATACAAGATAAATTTCTCAGAGACAGTTATTTTTCTGCTGGATATATATTTTTAGTTAAATAGATAAGAATGACAGTGAACAAAATTTAAGAATAGAGTTCACACAATCTATATAACAATCAAGCTAAAGAACAGGTAATTGTTTATTTAGCATGCTCACCCCATCTCTGCCAGGAATTCATGCAACCTCTTCTGTCCCTTTAAAGACCAGAGTTTAAATTTGCATGCCATTGGCATAGAGTGACAAATGCTATCAAACAGAGTCCAATGGCGGTACAGGGCCAAGTTCAGCTCCTCTTCAAAAGAAATCCGCAAGCAGTTTACTGACAAAATGTTTTCATCCTCATTTCCTCTGCAGAATTAAAAATCATATAATTTTTTGTCAGCAAAAATGTAACTTGAGAACTTATTGATCAACATTATGTCGAACTGTAATTTACAATGTTTAAAAAGAAAAGAGTTAACCTTTCGGAACTGTCAGAACAGTAGAGATGAAGTAGAGTTCACCTATTTTTTTGACCAGGGCATATGAAGGGAAAGTGTTGTCAGTTCTATGCCCAGCCACCTTTACTATATCAAATGTGCGTAGAGTTCCTATCAAAGCCATGCAGACTTGAGACTTGGACAACATGGTAGTAATCATGATGGCTAACCCAATTTTTTTTAATTGCGTAAAAAACTCTAGAACCAAGTTAATGTTAATTAACTGAGATCATAGGGCAGGTTGAGTAATTGACATGTATTGTATTATTCTATTTTTCTTAATGTACACTTTTTCTATAGTTTTTAGCTCAATGTTCTAAGAGCACTTTGATTATTGTTTTATAAAGTAACTAAAATGCTGACAAAAATGTCTCATATAAATGTAAATAAAAGAATTTGCCAACAAGAAATACCTTAAGTTCAGACGTGATACATGGGATTGAAGAGCCAAAATATCATTCACATATTTATCACGTGGAGTTTTAAAGTGAACAAACTGATCAGTTACTCCAACTATGGCTAACCTACAAAATACGAAAAAATGTATTTGATTCTTAAGCTACTTATGAAGCAATAATTTAACTATAATATACGATTATTAGCCAACTGAATACATTTTAAGTAAGAACATACCAGAGGAGGTTATTTGTGTCTTTTGACAGTTTCCAAGCAAGTTCAAACATTGTTATAGCAGCCTGCAAAATATTTGGGAAACAAAAAATAAATGCCATAGTCGCCCAAGACAGGTGATTTGGAAAAACATAAGTTTAGTTTCAGTTTCATCACTACTGCATGAAAGTGATAGCAGTCCAATATACATGCATTTGTTGAAACTAGCTGAGAATAAAATTTGCTATAGTTCAACTACTAATGTTATAAAGCAATATGAGTTCAGTTTTCTACTAGAAGTTTTGTAGGTCTAAACAACTTTTGATGCAGTTGGTAGAATAAATGAAAATGTAAGAGTGTAAATGAAAAGGGAATGAAGACTTCATACTTACTGCAGTTCCATAAGAAGTAAACTTTGAGTAATCAAACAAAACTTTTACTCTAGGAAAAAAATCAATATGTTATCAATAGTAATATGTTAAAAGCATCACAAGTTAACTAATTTAGTGGTAAGGAACAAAAGCGAATGAGGAAATGAATATATTACCTATTTTCATTCCATCTACGCCTGTCTTGTCTACGAAGGACAGATTCTTCATCAAATCTTTTTCTCTTTCTCCCTGTCTCATCATCTTCATCATCATTGTCGGATTCTTCTGACTGTTAAATGAACCAGATTTAAAAAATCTCATAAAATTGTTTAAAATTTTTTTTTTCGCATGAACACTTTCCTGGACAATATATAAGTTAAATTTTTTAAATTAAAATGTTGCACAACTTAGATCTTGTTGATTTGTTTCCAGTTAATACTCATGGTAATTAATGTGCATTACACAGCGATCCTGCACCAATGCTAATCTTAGATACCAGGGTTTTTTTTTCAAGAGAAAAACAGAAATAACACAAAAAGAAGTAGGTGATCCCTTAAAACCAAAAAAAAAAATAAATGATTTTAAGGTTGATTTTTATTGTTTTCAAAAAAATAATTAACATGTGAATGAAAATAAATCTTTATTTCTTGAAACATGTTTATGTCTTTACTAAGTGTTTGAAAGTGTATTTTGTATGTTTGACTTTATTCTTTGTCGCAATTTCAATTATTGACAGCCCATAAATCTTACATTGTTTTATTTTATTAAAATATCATCATCAAAATAATCAATAATTAGGCTCTCTCACTTATAAAAAAAGCACTGCTGAAAGTTAAAAACAAAAATAATCCTAACAATTTTCAATCTAGTACAATTTTACATATTGTTTTTGGTCTAGTATATAATTCATACATCAGATTTATACAGACAAAAAACAGCCAACTCACATCATCATCTCGAAACAGCTCATCATAACTTGGAATTGTTGACAGCTCATCTTCTTGCATCAGCAGCTTTACCTGAATCACATTGTAGTAGTTGTGAACGTCCACAGGGCGGTGACTGCAAAATAAAAATGGCAGCTGCAATGAGGTTTATGCTAATAGCAATGAAACGGGTAGTGTTAGTATCCTCACTCATTAATTTGCCTCACATTACCTGTAATTGTCTTTAATTTGTGATGATAATAAAACTACCCTTTTTAATACAATTTGACTGAAAAATGAGTGATGTTAATTTAAGAATTTAAAAAATTCTTAATTTAAGAATTCTTTAAAGAATTTTATTCATACTCAATGCAGTCTGGGAGACATATAAGAGTTGTGTACAACAGTGTGAGCAGCCTGAGATCTAGCTTTTGTGAAGGCTGATTGGTTGTTTTTTTTTGGGCAGTTATATTTAATTAATGTTTGTGGCTACTAAACTACAAGTTAATACATTACAAATGGATGTGTATCCCCTTCTACACAAGCTAATATATTACAAATGGATGTGTATCCCCTTCTACACAAGCTAATATATTACAAATGGATGTGTATCCCCTTCTACACAAGCTAATATATTACAAATGGATGTGTATCCCCTTCTACACACCTGTCACAGATGTAGAAACGAACATGATCTTCTGGCTGTAACAACTCAACAACATCAACAGATGCTCCGCAGTTAATCAACACAACATGCTTGATCTAAAAAAACAACATCTCTATTGTAATAGGGTCAGTGAATATCTATGTGCAACACTGTTTATTACTATAACTGACTAAACTATCTTCAGTGAAAAGGACAGTTATCGAATCAAAGTCAAAGAATAACACGTTGACAATTAAAATTTAAGTTCATATACCGATACTTTTATGTACAATACATAACTACTTTTTCAGTCCTCTAAATTGACTACAATACATCAAAGCTTACTCTTGTCTCTATCCTATTCATTAACTGTTCCCCATGACTTGTCTGCTATATCATTTTGAACTATATCGTCTACGGTCAATACAAACTAACCCTAAAATGTCTTTATAAATTTTCTGTCTTCCTCTCTCATCAGTCCTGTCACATATAAATCTAAGCTATGACAAGAATAGTGTGTAAAGTTTTTGTTTAGTAGTCTTAAAATAACTACAAACTTTCAAGATTTGGTAACTATTTCTACCCCCAACTTTGATGTTAATGTTTTGCATTGTAAGAAGTTAATACATTTTTATCTATTCAGGCAAGTAATCATTTATTATAATTGTGGGAAAAAAGTACCAACCCCTTCAGCATTTTCCAAGAAAGCATTTTCCAACCCCTGCATGCCATCTACTGGCACAATGGTATACAAGACTTGATCACATTGAAATAAATACTGAAATATAAAGATTACTTATGATTCATCTACACATCGGAAATTAAAATATGATGAGAAAACTTTCAATACTTTCATGCTCCTTTTCGTAAATAAATGCAATCCAGTTTGCATTTGTCATCTTCAGACCTACCCAATGAATAGCTTAGACTTTCAATTAAAGCATTACCTGCAAAATTTTACAAGCACAAAGAGCATCAACATCAAATGCAACCAGTACTAACACTCTCTGAAATGAAAAAGTAAAAGTTCATTACAGACTTATCCTACATCAAAGACAACACAAAGAAGTATAAACTATAGTAATAGAATAGAGAGGCTTATTAATTATTAGCACAAGTGGGTAATTATTTATAACAGTGTCCAATAATAGAATCTTCAAAAAAGGGGTGTTAGGTTACTGGAAGTTAACTAAAATAACACATAGCTTGCTAATGTCAATGCTAACCCTAGCCCTATCATTAGTCATACCATAGGCCTAACCCTAATTTAATTTCTAACAATAAAACTAGTCAAGCTTACAATACTACTACTAACAACCTTACACACCTATTTTTGGAAAAGTCTAATATCGGACATAGGTATCTTCAATCATCCAGAACAAACAAATCTCTATGACTCACTCATTTTATTGCCAACAAAAAAACTAAGAGAAAAAAACAGTAGGGTCTAATCACACATCTCATTATTATGATATTATCTCGTGGTCTGCTTTACTTTTACTTTTTACTCATCTCATACAAAGAAGCCAAACAATAAAATGTGCTGATGCTCTGAATCAAATTAAAACAAAATATTAACGATGGCTTCGTAATCATTAGTTTTATCCCTCTACCGAATAGTGAAAGCGAAACTGGTCGCCATTTTTGGTAAGCCGCGTAAGCGCATGAGCCTTGAGATGGCTTCAAAACAACAAACCCAGAAGCTGTGAATCAAACAGCCTACTAACTACAAAATGAAATAAAAAATTAGATCTAGTGCTATTCTAGATCTTATTTTTATTAGTTATTTAAGATTTAAGATACAAAAGACTGCGATACTGATACTAGCTCTTCAATTTTTTGTTTTGCTTTTTTAATTAGTTATATATAATAATAATTAGGCCGATGCTAGCCGGAATAAGATACGCATGCGCAATGGAGAGAAACTACGACTTGCCATCGCGGCGATGTTTTCGATGGTACTGCGCATGTGAATGTTTATAACTGCAGAACCCTAACGCCTAACACCAACCCTAATCCTATCCCTAACTCTAGCCCTAACCCTAGGTCACTGCGCAGAGCTATCTTTTGCTAACTAAGTGGAGACGGGGAGAAAAATCTTAGACGGGGAGAAAAATCTTCAGAGTAGTCACTTCGTTATAATTATTAAACATTTCATAAGTGAGCCCTTAGATGGGATATGCCAGATCAAATAAAATACAAACTAAGCCATTGTCTGTTGTGTAAGATCTAGATTTGAAGAGAATCAGTTTCAACTGAAATGATCGTGTGCAGTTCCAGCTGTTGACTGCTATGATGATGTGTGAATGAGCAGTCAGTTTCGAAAGAAGTAGATCTAGAAATCTAGAAAATAATCAAACGTATGTAATCTAAAAGCACCTGGTTTTGAAGTACATCGTAAAATTCACGTTTGAAATCTTTAACAATCATTTTATTTAAATTATGTTTGTTGCTAGCGCCAATTAACTTGGTATAATAATCCGAACAATAATCATAACTTTGACTCTGTAGTTAGGAAGTTATGTTTCATTTCATGGCGCCATAATGGTAATCAATAATTATTTAGGTAATCGACTACTTCAAAACGAACATTAACATCTGCACAATGTAAATTTCCGACAGCTTTTTTACGAAATAGACTGTAGATCTATAAGTTTATTGGATTAATTTAAATTCAAGCAACTGATTATCTAACTGCTAAATGAGTAAAATAATTTAAAATCCATTTAATGTAATAACTAGCGATATTTCGTAGTCGAAACTTGTTTCACTGAAATCCGGAAAGTTGTATCGCTCTTTAGCTACAAGATAACTAATAAATTATTCGTCTTATTCTGTAAGTTCAAAATGTAGCTAAAATATGAGAATAACCCAATATTGTCTTCAGATATAATAAAAATAGGGAAACTAAAAGCTGTTTTTTGTCCTGAAATCTATGTACGAATCGCAGGAAGCCCAGATTGTGTAAAAACAGCCAATGCCACGACAAACCTTCACAATCAAATCAACCCAGTCTAACACAGCGATTATACTTAGAACACATAGAACACACATTCTACACTCTACACCCAGTTCGATTAGGCTGTCCGTAAGAACATTGTTTCATACATGCTAATGACTATGCGCATACCATATAATTAGTGCTATATTTAATTCATATATATATATATATATATATATATATATATATATATATATATATATATATATATATATATATTTATATATATTTATATATACTTATATATATATATATATATATATATATATATATATATATATATATATATATATATATATATATATATATATATATATATATATATAAAACACCAGCCTGTCAGTCTGTTCTCCTGTGTGCATTACTGCACCGTTCATCCGGATAATCGCCATGAAAATTTCGGAACTTGATGAGAATACCCCAGGAAGGTTTCTGTGGGGAAAAAAATTCGGTCCCCAGAGGGCTCCAAAATAATAATGAATAGGCCTATTATTAAATTTTGAATAATTAAGGGAATTAACCAAGCTTATATTACTTTTTTTAAAAAAATATTAATTTGGTTATTTCCCTTTGTCCATAAAAATTGCTGGTGTTTAAAAATTCTGTTACTGCTTTCAGATATTTTGATTACGGAAACGGGGGATGCTGTTTACATTTAAAAAAAAATATTTTGTGTTCATTTCACACAGCGAAGTGTGTGTGTGTGGGGGGGGGGAGGTAGACGTGCTTCGGTGCGTGTGTGTGTGGGGGGGGGGGGGGGGGGTTAGTGCACTCTGAATAGATGCCTGAAAGAAATTATACCTGGAGGTTGGGGTACACGAGCACTACCTTACCCTTTGTATTATAACAACACTGCAGTCGTAGGTATAGAATGAAAACTGGGTCCTGCGTCTAAAAATAGTTCTCTGGTAACAAGTGAATATTATGTTGATATTATCAAAGAAAAGAAATCAATATCAATGATGTTGATTTCTTTTCTTATGAGATCCCTGCAAAGCTCGCGACGGGTACGCTAATCGTTATGATAACTGGCAAAGTTTGTCCGTCTGTAACTTGAATTGTGCAGCTTGTCCGTTTCTGTGCTCAATTAAACTTAATCGTTCATTGTATTCTTGATAATTTAAATATGCTAGGAAAAATATAATCTGTAATTTTCAAACAGTTACGATTAACTAGCGAAGGGGGGGGGGTTGGGGGCAACCAACAAAGTTTTTCCAGGCATCTCTTCGGAGCCCCCCCCCCCCCCCTGTAGAAAGTCTACCGCCCTTCCCCCCGAACGAAATTTATGTAGAGAATAATTATACTTTTAACAGTGTTTCCCCCCCCCCCCCCCCCCGGAAATTTTAATTTTTTTTATAAATAAAAAATAATCGAATTGTAAATAATGAACTGGGAGCTCTCTACATATGGGAAAGCTTATAATTTTACCGGAACTTGACTCTGCGGAGTAGATCTATATTTGTTACATTAGTTAATCCTTAAATTTTACTCTTCTAGACTAGATTTAGTTTAGATCTAGTCTAGCTTTAGTAATTCTTTACACCATTTTCACACTTTATTTACTCTTTACTGCATATTATTATCTTTACACACCAAAAACACTGGCTTATGATGTCTCAATACCACAAATCGTCTAATCCCTTTGAAGACGATGAAGAGGAAGGAGCGAACGACTTTGTCGTTGTTGACAAAAAATCGTCTGGCCAAAATCAGGCATCATCACGCTCAGCTATGACAGGCTCTTCTTCTGGAGCTTATCAAAGAGCAGCTCCACAACAAAATCGTCCGCATAATCCTAATTCTTATTCACCATATTCAACCACATCAAACTATTCAGATGAAGATAATCCGTTTGAAGACAAACGGCAGAATCTTATCAGACAAATTGAAAACTCAGAAAACACTCAACTTGAAAGTACGCAGAGAGCTTTAGCTAGTCTTTATGATTCAGAAGCCATGGGTATTGCAACAGCAGAGGTTTGACCATGTTTATTATTCTAAATACTAGTAAATGGTAGCCTAATTCTGATACTAAATATTTTATTAACAAGGCCCACAAATACATTTATTGATTCAATTCTTGAATTTAAAGTTGAAAACTAGATCCATTTTAATTTCATTTGATACAGATTTTGAATCTCTAGCTTATTTAGGTTCCAAAATATAGCCATCAAGCTATGATCAGTTTAAATATTTCTTTTTTATTACAACTGTAGACTTTAAAACAATTAAAGTTTAAGTAAGAATGTAGTGTAGGCTATATGTTAACATTGACAAATGTTATAATTTTTATAGGAGCTTATAAGACAAGGGGAAACTTTGAACAATATTGAAACTAAAACTGAAGGAATGCAACAAAATTTAAAGACCTCTCAGCGACACTTGAATAATATTAAGAGTGTTTTTGGAGGAATAAAAAACTGGTGGAGTTCTGATAAAAAAGCAGCAGCCAAGCCTGCAGAAGCCGATGCAAACACAAGGTGTGTTTCATTTATTTCTTATTGCTTTTTAATTTTCAAGTTTAATATTTAAAATATTTAATAGCCGTGTCCCTAATTTAGTCAATGATGTAATAATTTTGAAATTACGTTTAAAAAATATATCTTTGCAGGTTACGTACCACAGTTGAAAGTATTGAAAAAACCAAGCCAGATGTAAGTGGCTTCTATAATGATGAAGATGATGAAATAAATGCTAAATTTATGGCTGGAGCACGAAAAACCCAGACCACTGGTCAGTACAGTATGATATCTCCTATTACGAGGTCAGCCAGAGAAGAGGAAGTGGACCAAAATCTTGGTAAACAATTTTTTTACAATCACAATTCTATTTAAATCCATACTGATACTACTTATGATTTCTTTTGAGGCATACAGTTATGATGACAGTCCGTCAGCGAACATGATATACGATTATTTTTTAAATAACTCAGGCCATGACAATCCCAACTTGACATGTTTTGCTTCCCTTTCTTCCTCTTTCTGTGAGATGGCATAGTCAAATAATTGAGCGTTTGACTGCCAACCCAAAAGTCGTGAGTTCAAGTCCCTGGCTAGAATCGTAACACATCCCTAAGTACCTGACTCTTGTTAGGGAAAATTAAGGTGGCTGGGCACTGAAACACTGAACAGGTGAACTCTACTCCACCTGCCCCAATGGACCGTCAGGTTCTAACAGAAACTTGACTTTATTTCCTCTTTCCATTTTCCCTGTGGGTTCCACAATCAGCACCAGTACTATTGTAAAAAATAAAGTTTTCAAAATATGTTACTTCTTAACTAATTACTTATTTGCAACAAGCTGCTTTTTATTCACGACTGATCATGTAATTGAAATAAAATATTATTTATTTCAGCTTTGATGTCTGATGGTATGTCCAGACTGAAAAATCTTGCTATGGGACTAGGAGATGAAATAGAGAGGCAGAATGAACAGCTTGATAGAATAAATATCAAGGTTGATAAAACGGATGAACTGTTAGGCCACCAGAATACACAGATGAGGAAGATTCTGAAATAGTGATCTGAAAACTAGCAACAATCCTTAATTTGATTGTTGAGCTTGTTTGTTAATAGTCTTACCATTTGATACATATTTTGTTTCTATAAACTTACTTTTATTTAGAAAAAAATTTCAGTAATAACAGTATTTTTTTTTAAACATGCTCTTTTAGATTAATTAAATTAGTTGACTAATAAAAATTAAGTCAAAGTTGCAAAGCAGTTGAAGACAAGGTATACAGAGCATAAACAACAGCTGTTCTTGTGAACCTTGTTTTGTGTTCAAAAACTTTTTTTACCCTATACAATTACTTAGTTAATAGAGTAAAAAAAAATTCACTTTAAAAGAAATAACAGGCCATACTTAAATGACAAAGGTTGCTCAATATTTACTTATCATTTTACTTAGAAGTAGAAAAAGTGTAAACTGTAGTTTATCCACTGTGGTCTTAAATTGTTTGGTTTGCTAGGAAATAATTAGAAATATACAATTTTTTTCTAGACAATTATAAATAGAGTAACTATTATTGTTGCATATTTTAAATTTAATTTATTGAAACTTGAATATTTCTACATCATGTTGAAATATAATAATTACATGTTTTTAATATAGTTTCAGTTGGCTTTTATTATAGGAAAAGAAAATTTAAAGATTTTAATGACTTGTTTATTTTAAAATAAGTGAAGTAATCTCGTCATATGTGTAATGTGATGAAAGTTGTTTGTGATATTGATTTCAGCTTCAACTTATTTGAATTTTAGTGGCGAATGTTCATCTTGTACAGTAAATTTAAAACTTGTTTTTGTCTTAATTTTCATCATTAAAACAATGCTGAATGCTTGCTTAAACGAGGGTTTAAAGAATTTTGATTTTTTACAAAAATGTATGTTTTAAAAACCTAATGAGTCCAAAATTATTTCTAAAGTTTTGGGGTTTATTTCAAAGATGTAAATATTTTTTTCTGATGTATATTTTTACAACTGACAGCAGTTAACTGAGGTTTTGGCTTTTAGATAAACATGCACCTTTAACAACTGCTGATAGGAACTTTATGATTGTACTTTTCTGTGTCAACTCTAAAATTTGGCATCAGATATATATATATATAGAGGCTTGTAGTATGAAGTCACATAGCCCACCAAACATCAGGGAGGATCATACCAACCAGTGTGCATTTTAATTTTTTTAATAACTTTTTTTGTATGATGACACAACATAACATTCCTTCTGAGTTTCCTGCAACACATTCAAACTATTTATATATGTTAAAAATAAAACCTCTCTCTCACCCAATTCATTGTTTCTACCATCGATATCACCAGTGTAATATTTACATAGTTACTACCGTACCAATGTTGATTAAAAAGATCCATAGCTGTAGTAATTTAATCAAGCTGTTGAAAATGACATAACTTAATTTTGTGTATAGTATTTCCTTCAAAAACAAAGGTGATGTGCATAATTTAGTGTTAATAGATTGTATTTATTAAAATTCAGTCTGGAACTGTATATAATATTTTTTTAGGTAGATAGTTTTAAAATTCTGTTCCTTTTTATGAGGATATTGCTTATTTTTCTCTATATTATCTGTATTCTAATTTTTGATGATTGATGGATTCAATGAGTTATGGAAATCTGGGAATTTCTTCTATATATTTGGTTACTAGATTTTTAAACAGAAAAGCATCATCGTTTACAAACAACTAGCCAGAGTTTTATTTCTCTTGTTTCTGTTCCTTCATATTAGTTTATTTTAATTACAGTTTCTGAAAAATTAGTAACAATAATTTAAAATCACTTGTCTTTGATGAGTTGTAAGATAGCAAATACTACTATTAACTTGTTTTTCTATTGTAGGAGAATACTTGCAGCCTTTAATGTCAAGCTGTGCAATATTATAACAATAAAACATACATGGACATGATACACCCAATTTAAATGTTTTAAACTAATTTCTTTTTTAATTGCTAGTTTTGTGCTTGAATTGTGCAGCTTGTCTGTTTCTGTGCTCAATTAAACTTAATTGTTCATTGTATTCTTGATAATTTAAATATGCTAGGAAAAATATGATCTGTAAACTTTTTAACAGTTACGATTAACATCCTTTTGCAGGTATCTTATTTAATAAACTCTGCTTAAAATTCCCTTTGTGGAATTTCTTGGTACTGGCTTTCTGATTTCCAATTTTTTTTCTTTTTTAAATGTTTCAATATTTGAATGGAGCTTACCAAAAATATTTGATACAGAATAATTATAATATTTCTACTAATTGAAATTCAGGGTAGCATACATCTTAACTTAGAGCATACAAAAACACTAATCTATAGATAAATACACATGTACATAATATTAAACATAAAAATTACTCCCCAAATAAAAGAAATAAGCTACAAAAGCAGAAAAATAACATTGTGGTGAACATAATATCTTTAAAGAATAGCCTAACTTAAAAGTGTAAAATAATGAAGTAAGAGATCTGTAGAAAATAGTCAATACTAATACTATTTATTAATTTAATAACTGAATTGACACATTTGAAAATTACTACAGACACTGAGTATACTAATCTAGTCTATAGTTTGTGGTTAGATTGTCTAATATACTAAGTGGAATCAACCTATTTTTATCTTTTAAAAATTATTTTCGATTGGCCTATCTAATATTTTATTTGATAATCGCGAAAATTCCATATTATACAATATTACGTGTCTGCTTTTTCTCTGCTAGGCCCCTATATATTTTATTTAAATTAATTTCGTAGTGTTTTAAAAACTGATTAGAGTTTTTATATTTTCGATAATTTTGCTTTTTTAGGTCTAAGCAACCTGACCCGGAAATTATTCAAAGCAAAAATAAAATAACGACAAAAGCGGTTACTTTGAAATTATTACTGTCTTCTAGAATTTAGAAATTTATATCTCCATATTATCTTAAAAAAATAGATTAATAATTAATATAATCTCGATCTAGGTAATTGGTCTACATTTAAAATTTAGGATATATTCTTCTCCATAGTAGACTATTAGATCTAGTATCTTATTTAGATCTAGATCTAGATCGACGATCGTTTTGTTTTAGTGTTTTAGCATTAGTTTTACTAGATCTAGATATAGTTTAGGTACGTAAAATCGCCCGCGACTAGTAATGTGAAAAACAGGTGACTCCTTAAATTTAATACTTATTTCGAGGAGGGTGTAGTGTAGATCTATGTTTTGAAAAATGCTTTCTTGTTTCATTTATGTACCTGTTTTTAAACAATTGAATTAAAACTTTTCAGTAATAAATATTAAATAAAGAGATATTAGCGATGTTTCCAACAGATGCAACCATGCTCATTTTCTAGCAGCCATCTTATTTAAGTTTTATTTTCATAAACTTATAACGCGAGATTCAGGGGGAAGCCACTCTATTTTACAGATGACAGCTTTTTATATAATATTATATAGCAAATCCTGCTCGCCAACATTGCTGTTTAAAGTTAATTTCTTGCCTATATTGATATATTTATTTAGCCATTGATTTAGGTTTATTATTCATTTATCTATAATATTTGACAAAAATATATCACAATATAGGCCTACTTCTATTAAAGCCTTGACAATCAGGTAACTTTTTCGTACATTACTAGCCGCGGGCGATTTTTACGTACCTAAAAGATCTTTCAATAAGCATTAGAATGAACCTTCAAAATAATTTTTAACATTTATACCTAAAAAATTATGAGATAAGGAAATGTTTACAAAAACACTACTATTATAGAAATAAAATGGACATAAACTTAAAGAACCAAATTATTAAAAATCTAACAAAAGCACATCATTTAGCTGCACATATACTTAAATTCTTAAACTATTAAATTACAGTGTACTGAAAATAGTCAATAGAAAGTATGGACTCTCCACCATCACTACATGTGGATATTTTTGACGAGGCCTCACCCATGGAGGGTACCTTTTGTGTCCAGGTTTCTGATGACAAGTTTCAAGAAGATGTACGCTCTGAGACAGACAAGGCGCTTGGGGTTTGTACTGTAGTAGATATTTCCTTTCAAGTTATCATTTCAAAACTAATTTAATTAAGATAATACAATTCTCTACTTTTCTAATGTTTTGTTTGGCTTGCATTCTCAAAGTTTTTTTGTTTCTAAAATTCTAATGTAATATTTTACTAGGATTTGTGTTCTTTCTTGGACAAAAATCCAGAAGTATATGCAAATATACTGAGAAAGAGGAAACAAGAAGAGAAGGAAAGTAGTGGGCTGTTCTCTTATGTAAAGGTATTTGCCTTCATAAAAGTGTTTGTAGCTAATAGAGAACTTTGTTTAGTTACAGTTTTATTTGTGAAATTTTAAAACTTAACATGTAACATTACAATGAGCTTGTGACAACATTTAAAAAAACCTTTTTACAGAGTAAAATGCTGAGTGTGATGCAAGGAGAACAATACCTACAATATTTAATCAGTGATGCTGACTGCATGCAGCAGACAGTTGAACTTAAGGTGGGCATGTGCAAGACATTCCAGTACTCCCAAGGTAAATTTTATGCTACAGATTCTATTTTTGTTACTCTAGGCATTCTAACAAGTTTATTGTTATTTTTGTCACGCTTCTGGTGAATTGGATGTCTGTATGTTAGTAATATTGTTTACATATTCTATTTTGTCATTCTTAAACTTTTTGTTTGTAACATATTAAAGAATGTTATTGTTTAGAAAATTCTGTTTGTCCCTGACTCTTGTTTTCCATATCAACAGATCTGAAAGGTAATGTCACTAGGCACTCAGCTAGGTTGGCTGCTAAGAGACAAGCAGAGGTTTCAGTTGTTGACCCAGTCAACCCAACTAACGGCTCACTCTCTGAATGCTTGCCCGCGTCTTCCAAGAAACATAAGAATAAAGACACCAATGTCAGACTAGACCACAGTGATGTAGGGCAAAAGGAAGATGATGATATGTTATCAGTCACGGAAGTTAGACGGAAGGATGATGATAATTGTATATCAAAGGACTGTGATGGTAGACTAAATGTAAACGTCAAAAAAGTCAGAGCCACTAGAAATAAAACAACCAAGTTGAGGGCTGAAGCTGACACAACTCAGGATGAAAGTGCAGGAGAAAATGGGTATAAAAAGAGCAATAACAATTCTTCCATTGTTGGGGAAGCAGGAAATCTTACAGACCTGGTCCAGCTAGATGGGCTGAGTCCAGCAGACGACTCAACTGCTCCACCCCTGCCCCCTCCTTTACCTTCACACGCTTTCAGTACTCTAGCGCCCACAACTCCATTGGTATCCCAGTCTTTGTCTAAAAAATCAGCCTTATCCAACAGTAAAAAATCTGAGTCAATCACGAACACACCAAAAAAAGCCCAAGTAAAAACATTGAAAAGTAGTTCGACTAGTGATCGTCAGAGTTCAGGAAATCGTTCAGTTCCAGTGAATAGAGAAAATGGGGTGAGGTGTGGCAGCTCTCATAGCTTATCTCGAGCCAGAGCTGATTCCACTGAGAATTTGTCTCCCTCAAACTCTACCCACACTGTTTATTCCCCTGAGAATTTATCTCCCTCAAACTCTACCCACAACGTTCCTGTAACAAAACCTGTCAGGACTTTGTCCCAATCAAAGTCAGCTGAAAACTTGTCCCAGTCAAGATCGGCTGAAAATGTGTCCACACTGGATGGGCAGGTATGTGTTTTTTTCCTCCCTTGTTTGCGTTTGTATCTTCCACTGGCTTGCAGTGGACTAGTGAAAAGAGTCATTTTTTCAAACCATCATCCCTGTTATTTCTTCAAACCATCATCCCTGTCATTTCTTCAAACCATCAGACATTTCTTCAGACCATCATCCCTGTTGGGATATGGGCCATTAAACACCATTCTCCATAGTCCTCTGTCTTGAACCATCTTTTCTAGATGTTACCAGGTGTAAACAAATCTGCTGCTAGCATCAAGTTCACATTGCCATGTTGGTCAGCCTTTCTTTTAGAGCCTGTCTTTTGATGCTTTTATTGGTTAATTTCACAACTAGCCAGAACTCTCAGTGTCCTATACATACTTATATTTGTTGTCACATGGTATTGTATCACTGCCTTACATATCATATCCACTAGTCATGTCTGCATGTTCATGTGTTGTATTTCAGATAAAATTGGTTGTTCTTAATCCAGCTAAACCTAACCATTTATCTGAGTAGCATATTCTTCCCTCCAGCACAAAACCAGGGTTTTTATTATACTCATTCTTGATTTAAGTTAGATTTCAAATATCTTTTCTAAGTCCGATTGTTATAGTTATAGCTGGTTGATATGTTAATTTTCTTTCAGTTTCTGACCCCAATGTTTACATCACAAATGTTCAGGAATCACAAGAGGTCACTGTAAGTAAATGCTATAAATGTCAACATTATTTGTTGAAATAGTTAATAACAGTCTACATACAAATACAGACTGAGTAGAAACTCTAGTGTACAACTATTTATTTCTTATTTTATTGTACAATACTACTTACAAATACAAATTGGTTGAGTAAAATTACTATAAGTGTACATGAGTGTATATGTTGAGGTGTTGTGTTGTTGTAGGTCGACCACCTCAACTGGGTCTTTAGACAACATTCACTCTGAACTGACTTCATCCAATCCAATCACAAGACTCAAGGCCACCCAGATCGCAAGGTCAGGCAATAAATTACTTTTTTTAAATGTTTTTCAAATTTCCTATGCATGTAGCGAAGTGTATGACTGGTTTTGTCATAAATATAGTTTAGTAAAGATAATGAGTGTTTAAAAATAAAATGTGAAGTATTTATCTTCAAAAATATAAATAAATTTTAAATTGTTAAAATATTAGAGATCACATACTCAGTTATTGCTTGTATGATCAGTCTGACAACACTGGTGCTAATTTGGATTAGTAGGCTGAAAAAGTTAAAATTTGATACAAATGCAGGAACTCAAGCTTTAAATAAAACTAAACCTAATTACAAACAAACTTTTTCCACAATTTATTCGGACATTTAGTATAGAATCAAAGTATATACATGTCTTTATATGTTATTGTTTTTGTGCTACACTTTAACCCCATCAAAACAAGCAGTTACTAGGATGCTCTATTTACTCTTGTAAACTGTTACATGGCTGTGTTTAAATCCAGTGAAGACTTTCTCTTGTTTTGTCCAGATCCCCTGGTGGAACGCCTGTCAGGTCCAAGTCTAGCACCATGCCATCAGAACCTCTACATAGAGCCTTGTACACAGCCATGAGATCCAAGTTCCAAAATGTCAACACCCCCAGCCCCAAAAGTGATCGCTCATCTGTCAGCAGTAACAACAACTCCACCTTCAACTCCACATTTTCACCCTAATACTAGCGACGCACTGCGTCAATCTCATTTGAAATTACATGTTTTTTAATTCAATGTTTACAGTACTATTTTTAAAAGTATATATAGATATATGACAATATTTACAAGTTTTTAACACATATTCTGAATGATTAGGGGTCAACCATTTATGACGTCCATAAACATTTTTATTAACCACCTTCCTCTGTCAACATTGGATATCAACCCCCCAATGTGGACTTTAAAAAATTATATAAGTTTCCTAAAAACTTTTTATCCATTACTCTAATTGAATAAAATATTCGGTCTTAGGTACTAATTTTTTAAATATTGATAGGCTAACTTTCACTTATCTACATGTTGACCTGTAGAATTTGTTTCTAAAACAGCAATGTTGATCAAATGTACACATTTTGTACAGAGGTTTTTTTTTTTTTTTTTTTAAAAACATATAGTTATATTCCTGTTAAATTTAACAAGTGTAAGCCATTCTCCTCTCCCCCTCCCCCCCCCCCTCCCACTGTATGGATATCATAAATGGATGTTTCAAAATTAATGTTTGTAACACTACGCTGCTGTTTCCCAATGTGAAATATGTTGAACTTGTCTGAGTGCTGGCAAGCCTTTGAAAAAGCAGCTATTTTCTTTGTTTTTTTACACCATTGAAAATATTGTTTTGCTAGTCTTGTATTATAAGTAATGACTTCATATAATTAAACTGTTTTTATTAATTTAAATCATTTTTTTTTTAAATTCTACTTTTAATTTTGCAAAGTCTGGTAGTTTGGCCATACAAGTTCTGTAATCTTGGTTCACTTCATTTTATTTTGTGATTACTTCCCTTAGTAGAGTTTTACATCTAGGATTTATATTTGGTTAGATTTGTTATCTGTTGCTCTAACTTTGGTTTAGTTTTAGTCACAGCAGGCAGTAAAATAAACATTACTGGGTAGTGATTCATTCAAACCTCAATAACGGGTGGGGGGGGGGGTATTTTTTCCTTTCACCGGGTAAGTCTACTGTCCTGCTAGAATTTAAATAAAACATAATATTTAACCAATTACGATGCCTTCACTTCCCACCACACACTTCCTCTGTGCCCTATCCACCACACCACATAATGCTTTAGGTCAGGCCACGGCTCAACACCAGTAAATGTCACAGACGAGGTCTCAGGATAATGAATGTAACGTAATACGTTGACTCGGGTAGAGCACACGAAAATCTCCAGTTCTGTTTTGGTATTAACAGTTCTTAATACTGTAAGTCATTAGCCCACCCAGCCCTGGTGGGTACCTCTCATTAGTTGGGTAAAGTAAAGCTATACACAATCCAAATCGAAAAGTGAGTCTCGATAGCTGGGGACAGCCACTTATCTTGGAGAGACAAATCCAACATTGAAACTACTGCTGCATTGTAGTTTGTTCTTGGATGGACAAAGGATATGGAAGCAAATCCAAAATGAAAAGCAAGCCGAAATCGGAGTCAACGGCCTAATATGCGCATAACAAGTTGACACGTAGTACTTAATTGTGTTGAAGGGAATCCCTACCAAGACTAGAATTAAGAACGAAGGAAAAGAGGTAAAATCAAATTCTTAAGGTTTTTTTAAATAATCGGAAATTGCGTATATTATTACTTCCGGTCTTCGGAAATCACTTAGAATAGTATAGAATTAAGAGAACAGGATCTTTAAACCTATATATGGAACCGGTAACACATTAAAGTAGCATTTCCGGTCATAGGAGATCATTCAAAAATTGAAAGTAATCTTATATTATATATGAAATTTCGTTTACCCAACTGAAACAATACTCAAGTTTACATGGAAAAACGGATATAGTAAGTAACTTACACAAATCCAAATTATATAATTGGATGTAAAATTATATATATATACACACACACACACACATATATATATATAATATTCCACGCCATCACTCCCACCCCCTTCAACAGACAAACATAACATTCCTAACGAAAACTAATCTGTTTATTTTTCATTTTTTTGTCGTTCCTAAAGATTTTTTGACACTCCCTCCACCACGTAGCTCATCGTCACAGAATCCTGACACCCCCCCACTCATTTTTCGAGTGACGCCATATATGGATGTCCCCTGCCCCCCTAGTACTGATGATATATCAAGTATCGCCATAGTTTATAAAGCATCAAGTTAACGAACGGCCGGATAAATTCAAACCCCGGCCCGCGGGCCGAACACTGCAGTGTTTACAAACAGAAAGCTAATAAACATTAATTAGCCTGTACTTAAAGGGAAAAAAGATTAGTTAGCACATATTTGCTGAACATGTGTGTCTAATGCAACGTTCAGACACACAAGTTTATCTTCATCTCTGACGTAACAATTTAAAACTAATTAGGGTAGAGGAAAAATAGTAACACAATGAACACAATTTTAACAAAGGCTTAGTCGTAGATTAAAATTTATTTTTTCAATTTTTCAATTAAGAAATAATTTTAAATATTTTAAACTTTTAGAATACAATTCCAATATGTTTGTTTTTTTACAGTAAGCTTTACGTTACCTTCGTAAAAACAAACAAAACATGCCTATTTACCTAATTAGTCTTCCTCATTAAAATCTGCTTAGGGCAGATTTATTGACAATACAACGACCACATTAGACACGGAGTAAAAACTACAGGACGTGTATGTGACACCATATGACTTTATGTGAAACTACATAACTTATATGTGACAAAATAAGACTTTTTGTGACACCATACTACCTTCTATGACACGATATGACCTCATATGTGACACCACATGACCTGTATGTGACACCATATGACTTTATGTGACACCATATGACCTCATATGTGACACCACATCACACTTACCCTTCAATTGCCAGACTCCCCTCTACCAACGACTTATGTAGTTTCACCCATCGCAACTACCCTCAAATAACCAAGCATTAAAAAAGTTATCCGTACTTTGTTATTTTATCGTACGTAAAAACGGTGCTGTGTCACATTCCTCATCTCCGCTCCCTTGGATGGCACATAGCCACACAAGCTAAAACGCCATTTTCAAACAATGAGCGTGACGTCATTAACTTGTTGTTGGAGTATGACAAGGACAAAAATATAGAAAAAGCTCACAGTTTCTAAACCCAATAAACCGGGAGTGATCTCCCCTGAACTTTCTCGAATATTCTTATATGAAACAACAGGTCCCTATATATGGACCAATATATCAGCAACAAATAATTGGTTACATCGTGTGTTTTATTTTATCCTATTGTATGTACCTAAGAATATTTATTAGAAACTTAAAAAGTCGTATATAATTGCATATCTTAGATATTAAACATGGCTGTAATAGTAGTTTGTTATTTATAAAACTTGTCGGCCTTTTGTCTTGTCGGCCTTTTGAATGTCGGCCTCTTGTCTTGTCGGCCTTTTGGATGTCTGCCTTTTGGCAGGTCGGCCTTTTGTCTTGTCGGCTTTTTGTCCATGTCGGCCTTTTGTCCGTGTCGGCCTATTGTCCATGTCGGCCTTTTGAGACCTAATACTTAATTGCATATGAGGAAATCTCGTCCAACATTGCAGTTAAAAACGAAGAAGAAATTATCAACCAAATTGAGTTCAGCATGCTTTCTACATTTTTATGTGCATAAAATAGTTATTTATACAGTTGGGTTTTTGGATGTCTCATTTGATCTTATTCATTTAGTAAAAATGTCAAGCTGAATTCCAGACACTAAACTACGTCGTAAACCCTCATGTCAAAACATAAAACTGGTGATTAAAAACGAAGGTTTAAAAAACAATACAATATAAAAACAACAGGCGATGAGTCGTTGGAATAGCTCTTTAAATTGGCCAGGAAATTAGAATTAATTGCCAATTAGTCGGTTTCATGTTGTGTCGTACGGACCAGCCACAAATTATCGCGTGTGTTCTGGGCGCCCTTTGAAATATCACACTGTTCGCATGAACTCGCTTTCGCAGAGGTCAAGGTCGGTGTCACACGGGGGTTATCGTTTTCGTCAAGATCAATGTCACACGGGCTCGCTCTCGTTCGGGTCAAGATCGGTGTCATGGAGTCTCTTTTGTTTACGGGAAGGTCAATGTCATTTATGGTCAAGGTCAATCCGATACTCTTTTCTTTCCGAGTCAAGGTCGGTGTCACGACAACTGCTGGTAGTTATGTTGCATTTTGTCATTGATCAAAACATTGACACCTGGGATCGGCGATTCTAAGGGGGGGGGGGGGGGGGGAATAGGATGCAAGGGGGGGGGGGGGGGGGGTGTTGGGAAACTTGTAGGCATATCAAAAGTTTTTCTTTTGTGAACTTGTAATTTTTATTATGTTCTTTAAATGTATTAGTGTATACTTGTATATATAATTTTCATTACATTTTATGTTGAGCGTTTTGTTCTTTTAAATGTATCAGTGTATACTTGTATAGCTATGTATGGGTCCCTAGAAGGACATGGTGTCTTATCCCCCCACTTCCATCCAGTTTCTTTCTCCTCCCACCCCGAAGAGCGTCTTTCACCCCCCCCCCCCTGATAGAAGTTTCATTTTTATTTACAGAAAATATATACTTCTATCAGTGTCGTCCCTCCCACACCCCCCACGCAAAATGTAGTCTCTCCCCACCCCCTTCCCACCCCCACCCCCTGGAGAAAAACTCTGCCCAACATATTGAACCTACCTTTGAATATTCAATAAAATATTGGCACCCGTATATGCCATTGGACTAAACATTCATCACCACTGCCCGACACCCCTACTTGGGTATGGGTAGCCAACTAAAGATCTCCATAGTACTCTGTCCTGTTCCATCTTCTCGACCTGACTCCATGTGTAAGCCATCTTTATGGTTTTAGCATCGAGGTCCCGTCGCCGGGTGGTTTTTGGTCGATCTATTTTGAGCTTTTCTTGAGGGTTCCGTCTCAAGTTGTCCTGTTGTATGTCATAGTTGAACGGTGCCGATGGTGTCAGGCTGATGGTGTCAGACTGATGGTGTCAGGTTGATGGTGTCTGGCTGATGGTGTCTGGCTGATGGTGTCTGGCTGATGGTGTTAGGTAGATGGTGTCAGGTAGATGGTGTCTGGCTGATGGTGTCAGGCTGGTGGTGTCTGGTTGATGGTGTCAGGCTGATGGTGTCAGGCTGATGGTGTCAGGCTGATGGTGTCAGGCTGATGGTGTCAGGTAGATGGTGTTAGATAGATGGTGTCTGGCTGATGGTGTCAGGATGATGGTGTCAGGCTGATGGTGTCAGGTAGATGGTGTTAGATAGATGGTGTCTGGCTGATGGTGTCAGGCTGGTGGTGTCTGGTTGATGGTGTCAGGCTGATGGTGTCAGGCTGATGGTGTCAGGCTGATGGTGTCAGGCTGATGGTGTCTGTCCGATGGTGTCAGGCTGATGGTGTCAGGCTGATGGTGTCTGGCTGATGGTGTTAGGTAGATGGTGTCAGGTAGATGGTGTCTGGCTGATGGTGTCAGGCTGGTGGTGTCTGGTTGATGGTGTCAGGCTGATGGTGTTAGGCTGATGGTGTCAGGCTGATGGTGTCAGGCTGATGGTGTCTGGCCGATGGTGTCTGGTTGATGGTGTCAGGCTGATGGTGTCAGGCTGATGGTGTCAGGCTGATGGTGTCAGGCTGATGGTGTCAGGCTGATGGTGTTAGGCTGATGGTGTCAGGCTGATGGTGTCTGTCC